CGCGTGCGCACAGAGAGAGGGTGATGGATGGAGAAGGATGGGCTGCTGCTCCACTCCACAGGTGAGAGAGAATGCCGGAGGGCTTGAGAACAACACCAGCAGATGGAGATTCCAGAAGCAGCTGGAAACTGTCTCCTGAAGTAAACACGCACCCAGGAGGAGTCCAAACAAGCACACGGAGGAGCTGGGACGGGTAACAGTAAGTTTCTGTGGGCTTTTTAAAGGCTTATTTATCATTCTTTAGTTTACGTGTGTAACTGTTTTATCTGCCTGCGTGCATGTATGTGCGCTGCATGCATGCCTGGTGCCCACTGAGGCCAGAAGAGGGTGCCAGATCTCCTAGAACTGTAGTGAAAGGCAGTCATGAGATGCCATGTGGGTGCTGGAAACTGTATCTTGGTTTCCAATGTCAAGCGTGAAGGATGGATGACATTTCCAGGTATCAACAAACTAAAAAAAGCCAGTGGGACTCCAACTACTCCTTCCAACACCTGGGAGGGAAGAAAGTGGAGAGGACGGAGGGAGGGAGGGAGGGAGGGAGGGAGGGAGGGAGGGAGGGAGGAGGGCGGAAGAGAGAAGCCAGGGGAGAAGAGCTGGAGGGAGGGGCATCCAATATTATTATACCCAGTCAAGTTGTTGCTCATAGGTATACAGACCAGAAGAAACATTTTAAACAGGCAAGAATTCAGAGAGCATCCCACGGGCATTAAACACTGGCATGCAAATCAATCAGAGAAGCCATCTCCTCTTCACAGTCTCGCCCACGTCCTTCCCCCGCTTATCCTTAACCTCCATCAACCCCACGTGTGTTTCTGGTGCCGGGACCTCCTTGTTGGTTATCCCAGCATTCCAAACAGAACCAATGCTTCTCCAGCTCCCTGTTTCTTGCTTTTTCACTCTTCACAGTCAGTACTGGCCCCTGACGAGACACCCGAAAGCCCGGACTCTACCTCATTCATCACCCACAGCACCACCACCGACAGCTCCGCTCCGGGCACCCAGCTCTCCTCCCTTGTGGACTCTCCCTGCATTATGTCACTTGGAATCACCCTGCTGGGCACTGAGAGGCCCAGCCCCTACCTTCCTTGCAGGACTCTCCAAACCACAGGACCCACACCATCATCCCTGGTCCCCTCCTTCCTGAGACCCACTCCTGTACCTCCACCCCAGCCCCAGGCTTTGAGACGTATTAGCTAAGGTTTAAGCTCATGTGTTCTGAGCCCTGGCCCTGCGCCCAGGCCAGATGAAATGTCCCCGTTCCATACACACAGCACACCCTTCCCCAATGCCTGAGCAGTCAGTGCTGAGCTCTGTGTCTACTTCTCTGTCCTGCGAGCTGGAGAATGAGTCAAGGCAGGGTGACCCCTCACTTCTGAGCCCCTGATCCCTGACACAGTGCCTGGCCCACAGGATCTCCTGTATGAGGGTTGCGATCACCCAAACCTACCACCGCTGAAACGGTTCATTGTAATTGTTAACTTGACACAATCTATAATCGTCTGGGGGGAAAAGTCCCAATGAAGGATTGTCTAGGTCAGGCTAGCCTGTGGGCATGTCTGTGGGGGGATGATTAACTAACATAATTAATTATGTTGATTGATATAGGAAGACCCAGTCCACCGTGGGCGGCACCACCCCCTGCATGTAGGTCCTGGATCGTATAAAAGTAGATAAACGGAACTGAAGAGCATGCCTGCATCATTCTCTCCGCTCCTGCCTGTGGCTGCGATACAACGGTCTTCAGTTCTTGACTCGCTTGCTATGACAGACCGTAACCTGGAATTGTGAACTAAAGCAAAGCATCTCACCTCCCTCTAAGCTGTCTTTTGCTGGTACTTTATCACAGGAGCAGAAATTAAACGAGGACAGAGGCGCACTCATACGCCTGCTGCTGGGAGCTGAGACATGGTCTTCCAAAGCCTGGGATCCTAACAATGGAGATCGAGTGCCCACTCTAGAACTGGGAGAGGAAAAGGGGGGGGGGGGTTCGGCACAGTCCCTGGCCCTGGTGATCTCCGGAGGCTCTCCACCATGTGTACCTGGACTGGCCAATGTGGTGCACAGACTAGCCCCACTAAGAAAGACGGGAGAGCAAGTGCCAGTGTTTCTGGGCTCCCTCGTGTCCCCTGATGAGACCCACCCAGAGTGGACTCGACACGGAGCCTGGGAAGCAAGAAAGGGGCAGCAGAGGTCTCTTCTCCTCGGGGCAGCCGCAGACGCTTCTGCCAACATCACCACACTTGGGGCACTCTCGCCAGCCTCAGAGCCTTGAGTCCAGTTCCCACCTGCGCTGAACAATCTTACATCAGCCTGACACAAGCTAAAGTCATCTGAGAGGAGGGAGCCTCAGTTGAGAAAATGCCTTCATAGGATCAGGCTGTAGGCAAGCCTGCAGGGCATTTTCTTAACTAGTGATTCATGTGGGAGAGCTCAGTCCATGGTGGGTGGGGCCATCCCTGGGCTAGTGGCCCTGGGTTCTATAAGAAATCAGGCTGATCAAGCCAGGGGAAGCGAGGCAGCAAGTAGTGTTCCTCCATGGCCTCTGCATCAGCTCCTGCCTCCGGGATCCTGCCTTGTTGGAGTTCCTGTCCTGACTTCCTTCAATGATGTGCAGTGGTATAGGAGTTTAAGACAAATCAGCCCTTTCCTTCCCAAGGTGTTCTGGGCATGGTGTTTCATCATAGCAGTAGTAACCCTAAGACGCCACCCAAGCTGCCCGGCACTCCTTCAGGACACACGGGCCTCTTCTTCCTGGCTTAGCCATAGGCAGCTGTGTTACACTAAGAATGTGACTTATGTCCTTCTTGGTGTCTTGGGGACAGGTTCCAGGACCCTTGTGGATACAAAGTTCTCAAGTGCCTCATATAAATGATGTAGGAGAGGCTGGAGACATGGCTCAGAGGTTACGAGTACTTACTGCTCTTCCAGAGGACAAAGGTTGGTTTTCAGCACCGGCATGGTGGCTCACAACCAGTAATTCCAGTCCCAAGGGTTCTACCGCCCCCTTCTGGCCTCCATGGGCACTGCATGTGCGTGGCGCACAGACATTCAAGCAGGCAAAAATACAGATAAGGTAAAAATGATTTTTAATTTTTTGTAAATAGTGTTGTATTGGGATATAACCTACACACATCTTCTTGTGTGCTTAAAACATCTCCACATTACCTACAATAACTAATGCAGTATAAATATAATGTAAATATTCATTACACTGTATTTTATGCAAATAACAACAAGGAAAAATATCTATGTGTTTTAGTGCGGACATACTATTTTTATTGGAGTGGGTTTTGTTGCTGTTGTTTGTTTCACTCACGATCAAATCCAGGGCCTTATACTGGGTTAGCAAACACTTTACCACTGAGCTCTTTATAAGCCCTGTTCCAGATCCAGTTTCAAGAATGTATTTTTTGTGGCCCACCACAATAGACTGCTGGCAATGGTTGAGAGACAGCCGGGACTGGCCTACTCTGGTGATGGGATGGCCAAACACCCTAATAGTTGTGCCAGAAACCCCATCCAAAGACTGAGGAATCTGGATGCAGACAACCACAGCTAGGCCCCAGGTGGAGCGCTGGGAGTCTAATTAGTAAAAAAGAGGAGGGTTTATATGAGCGAGAATTGTTGAAACCAAGGTTGGATAAAGCACAGGG